TTTGATGTGTGAATGAAGCGTTGCCCTGAGAGTTAAGGTACTGCTTGGATACTTAACATCTGTCCACTGTAAGGATCCAAACTTGAAACGCTCCCCAATCCCTCAACACAACTCACTGTGAGGTCCCAGACCTACCTGAGGCCCTGGACTGAAGCAGAACTGGTTTAAGCCAGACAGCTGGATGGCCCAGGCAGAAAGGCCTTCGTCACAGAGTGGGGACACGGCTGAGCAGTAACACTCCTGCATTACTTAGCAGCTCCAACTCTCATGGGACTCGCCCTCAATTGCTAAAAGAGCCTGACCTCTGACAAAGACCAATGAATTCAGCAGTAATTAATGATACTGTCAAATTAATTAACCCAAGTCTTTGTTCACAGGAAAGAACCCTCTACCATCAATACTGCTGTTTACCAGTCCTTGACCAAGCGCTGTAGACCCAAACCTTCACAACCGGGACACTGGGACACCACTGACTGACGGCCCGGATAAGGTCCCACCTAGTAAACCGCCAACATTTATTAATAAACCTTCTCACCATAATATATCTTTTGATAACATGACTAGTGGATTAACAGGTCTCCAAAACCTAACACTAATTTAAATAGATAAAAGCCTGCAAATACCAGTGTGTATCATTCACATTTCCAATAATACCTTTTAGATATCCCTTTGAATTATGGTGATGAAACACTAGACAAATGCTGTAGGATTTCATTAGCCATCTAATAAATGGCTTTCATTAAAACACTGGTCTGCTTGTCCTTTTCTATGAAGAATCTGACTCCTATAAATGCCCACGTATACATTTCCATATTATCTCTTTAGAGGGCTCAGAACTATTTTCTTACACCTAACACAGCTTTTACTCCATTTAGAATAATTACCCTCCATCCCATTTCTGACTTTCAAGAAAAACAAGACACTTAATTGACCACAGGAGGACTCTCTCAAGGGCATCAGGCTGCACACGCTCGGCTGCCGGCTCCCAACTTCAGCTGATGTAATCTGCTATAAGAAGCTGACTTCTATTTTTAAATTATACCCTTTTACTCTGCCTTCAAAGGGTGCATATATCACACGTCGTAACTTTGCTCATAAAATACCTCGTGGTTCCAGGGTGAATCACGCTGTCAGGAGTTGCTTCCACCACAGCCGCCCAGCCCTGCCCCTTTAAATTCATCCACCTTTTCCTCGTGCGCGTCTGGGCTTGGGGGGAGCAGCTACGTGTGGCCCTGCTAGCCAGGTATCTTGTTCCTCACAGTCACTTTGACAAGGAGCAGATGACTAGCAGGGTCCTTCCTGAAGGCCGGGCTCAAGCTTTCCCACCTCTTTGTATTTCCATCTCCTGACACAGACACTTAATAAACGCTCTTAATGTTGACGTTGAGAGCTCTGTCATCAGGCCTGTGTGCTTCAAAGGGGGCCAGAAGGAAAACAGATTGCTTTGTTTAATTTTAAGTTTTTCATTCATCATTTCAGTCATGCTCACTGTGTGCTATTTAAAAGGTTTCTTGGCATTCTGAAGGCACTGTGAAAAAAGCCTTGGTTGGAGGTGAAAAACACACTTGAGCTTGCTATTTGTTTATTTATACTTATTCTGCTTATTTCTGAAAACAATGAGGAGCTCAGTAATTAATCTGGTGCTACTACGGAGTCTGGGAGAGGTCAGAACAGTCCATTTCTTTCTGGTCTACTTCCCTCTTCATTTCATAGTTACCCTCTGTTTTATGTGGGTTCACACAAAAGCCTCCCAGTGGTCCTCCCAGCCTCAAGGCTTGGGCCCTTCCAATCCCTTCTCTACCTTACAATCCAAATGAGCTAATGCCCCTCCTCTTCCCAACACCCTTCCACACCAGCCAGCCCCAGCTTTGGGGAGATGTCTCTCCTGCTCTGGCCCCGGTTCCATTTCCAGTCCCATGGCCTGGCACAAGCATCCCCACACCCACCCTGCCTTCCATGCTCTGGTTCTAAGTGCCCTGTTGCTTTCCCCTAAAGGCCTTGGTCTAAGGTGCTTCCTCAGCCTGGAGCCCTGCACTGCTCTGTTGCTCCCATTCCCTCTAGCCAGCTTCTTTCTACTCATCCTTCCACGGTTTGTTCGGATGCCACCTCCTCCAGGAAGAACCTCGCAGGTGTTCCTGTGACATCATGTGCTACCTCAGACATGACTGGTCACCATCTGCATTGCATTTACTTGCTCTGTCCCCAAATGACTGCACGAGACAAGATGGCGACCATCGTGTCTACGTATTTACTACCATATTCCTCTGGATGCTGCCTGGCACGTGGCCTGGCTTCAGTATCATTTGTTGAATGGACAAATGAATGAATGAATGCACACTAAGGATTCCAAGTAGGGGGACCGCATTTGTGAGGTACAAATTAGAATTTTGTCTCCTCTGGAAAGTGTGAACTCAAAAAAACAGAATTTTTCATCCCTTGAGACGCGAAGGCGGCAGATGGCCCTGAAGAAACTGAAATTCTCCCCATCTATGGTGACTCCTGAGGAGCCACTCGCAGCTGGATGGCTCTTCCAGATGACTCAGAAACACGTTTAGGTAACACATTCCTGAGAGATAAATGGAGACTCTGTTTAAAATGGAATCCCACCAGGACAAAACACTAAGGCTTGCTCAAAGTTAAATTTCATGTTATAAACTCCGAGTGAACATAAAACTCTACAATTTAAATTCATTCCAAAGAGGGCAGCAAGCCACACATTCATAATGCTACTTCTTACCTGCAAAACCACATGTCAGTTTCCCAAACATCATGAGGTCAGCTGCAAATGGTGGGAATGCCCTAGAGGCTTGAGAAACGTGGGCCTGGCACTTCAAACTCAGTGTCTGGAACCTTGCCAGCTGATATGTGAGTGCTGACTTGGGGCCCAGCACCAGACTGTCCCTGGGGTTACAGCGGTGAGGAGAACCAACATGGTCCCTGTCCTTGTGAAGACTCCAGCCTAATCAAATATACACTTGAACATAGACATCTTTAAAAAAATATTCCAAGTACACCATGTTCAGCTATTAAACTAAATCCAGCACACACGGGATGAGGAGTAAGGCATAGCTTCAGCAACCTCTGCATGGCAAAGGATTTTTTTTTTAAACCTTTCTTTCCCCCCCAAAATCAACATATTGATGTCACTAAAGAGTTGGTAATGTTTCAACCTTCAAACCAAATGACAAAGGACTTGGTTTTTATTTCATCTTTACACAGTTAGTAACTGTTCCCCCAAACAAAACCAAAGAAACACAATACCACGTGAAATTCTTTGGCCTTCCAGAATAAAAATATGTTTATTTTTATTACCTGGCACATAGGAGGTGCTCAATGAATGTTAATTGAATGAATGAATTGCAAGTGGGGCAGCTATAAAATGCCTTTGTCAATTTTAGGTATTCTCTCTTAGGGAAAGAAATTAGGCATATTTTGTAAGATTATGACTTTCATTTACCTATCTGGCCTTGGGCTAGTTACCTAATGTGAGTCTCATTTTCCTCATCTATAACATAAAATCTGTGTCTTGGTTGTTGTGAGGCTTACAGGAGGCAGCAGCTACAAATGACCAGCATACTATGTCCTGTAGGTGATTTTTTTTTTTACCCTCTCAACTCTGCTCTCCTCCACACTCATGAAAGGCTACATGCATACCAAATCACTGGCCTGATTAGAATTTAGAAAACTTTAGAAGTCGCCTGGGCTCACCAACTTCTATCTATCAACCCTTAAAATATTTATTTATTATTTTGGGGCTTTGATTTTCTCTTTTACAAGATGAGTGAGTTTCACTAGGTGATCTCTAAGAGACATTTCGGCCTGGTTTTCCATGACTTAGAAGTCTACCTCACTGAGAAGTTAGATGCTGCTAACAGATGAAGGACATCTGTGATTAGAAATAAAATAGACCCTGATTTCTCTTCATAGGGGAGGATACTAAATTTCAAACCAAGATAAAATTTACTTTTTAAGGAATTTGTTATGAATCTAATATCTAGGTCGAGAACTGGTGGCCGACCATACTCTTAGGCAACAGGAGGTCCCTCCTTCCCTGCACTTCGACAAATCTAACCTCCAAGGCACCAACAAGGCTTCCCAGTCACAGCTCTGAAATAACGCACTTAAAAAGAATTCTAGGGATTTTAAGCAATATCACTAATTACAAATGAATCGCTTGAAATGAGTAAAACAGTTGACATAATATTATGTCAAGCCTAACATTTGGCTGGTTTTTTTTTTCTTTCACAGTCTGAAATATATCCAATCGACCAAACAAAGAACTACCAAGCTTGTACACAGAAAAATTGTGCTATATTTTCATAAATACTCAGTGTAAAACTGCCACCTAGTGGTGGGAGATATCCTTGTATGACAAAAATCTCCAAACAGCTAAATTGACACAAGATAATTAAAAAAATAGCAAGATTGTTTCTCTGCTGCTCACCAGTTATTTCAGGGATATTTAAGAGCATACTCATCTCCACCTATTTTCCCACAGAAATTTTTGAAGAGGTCTATAGAAGATAGAGGCAATGCCTCATGAGTTAATCCTACAACTAAACCCCACTGCTTCTGAACATGTCACAAAACAAAGGAGAATTATTATTCTATTAATTTTAATATGCATTAGCAATTTAAAAAGATTTCCCCAGTAGTCTGTTCTCACCTTCTAGATTCATTTGATCTAATCTTGATTTTTAGTTATGCATGAAAAGGCATTTAAAAGTGACAACCTTACAAAAAGTGCACATTATATGAAAATCTGACTTCAATTAAAACCAGTTACTAAATCCCAGCAATTTCCAGCTGTCTCTTCCATCTTATCCTTAGAGAATTATATATCACATTAATTGGTATTCTGTCACATAAAAAGACACCAGTGATGATTAATTGCATCCTTGGTGCTTTTGAGTTATGTTTTCTTCACCAGAGGGATTCAAATCACACCTCATTACCTTCTAGCAGGTACCCCTTTTGGTAACTCTCATAAAACCTCCTACCTTCCTGAACTTCTCCATTTGCTTGTAGAGGTCTGGATCAAGCTCCTGAGACACGTCCTTCATCCATAATAATGCTCCTCTGTATTCCGTCCGGCACTGCTCCATGCGGTTCACAGTCAGCCAAGTATCTGAAATGGCCCGATGCCGAAAAGTCTCCACTTCTTGGTGAAATCGACACAAAGGATTTCGCAAGGCCAACCTAGACAAGAGGATAATACCACAACCTTGAAACTAAGCTAGCCAGCAATTTGAATCCTTGACATTTTGCCAATCTTAAACACATGAGCCTAGAACAGTGGCTGGAACATAGAAGATGCTCCACCAATATTTCATGAAAAATAATTGAAATGTATGTGAACTGATGAGTCAGCCAGAGATGACTACCCATGTACCAACCCCTTAATTTACTGTTACTGAACAGGACCACTGGGAAGTACCTCCATCAGTGTTGTTGGGGTGGTCTCAGACCTGGGCAGAGTGGTCATTTGAAGCTGGAACCAATCCTGTTTTAATGGAGGATGCTCAAGGCATGACTTCTCTCATTTCTATGCTTTTACCCTCCCTGTCTCTTGCTCCTCTGAAGACTGGCCCTTTGAGGAGGGATAAGAGTATATGTGATTAGGGTCTCCGTGGTAGGCCATTGTAGATTACTCTCCAAAGACCCAGGCATCTGCTGCTTGCTCCAACAGTCACAGAGGAAAGAAGCACGAACAGAAGCATTTTGAAATAATCTAGGAAGGGCGATGAGCGCATTTACCGAGAGTCTATTGTTTCAGATAGGTTATATGATTTAATCCTTATTAAAAAAAACTTTAAGGATACTATACCAGAAATGAATGTAATAAAGTAAGTATAAAATTATAATATTGGCTATAACATACTGCCATTTATTCAGCCAAAAACAAAAAGCTTAAGGTGTATCAAACTTTAGATAAAATATTTATTTTGGTGAGAAAACATTGCTTCTTTCTTCTTTCTACCCAAAATGAGCAACGTCAGATGAATTATGCTCTTAAAATATATTCTTGTCCATGATGTTTAGGGACACAGGTGCAAAAAATAAAACTAAGATGAATATTTAAATTTCAATTTAAATGCAAACTTATTTAGCTGAAGGCAACAATGGTGTCAATGAGCTGAAGTCAGTTTTTGGCAATGTCTGCAATGCCTTATATGTGTGCAGCACTATAAGATTATAAATGGTGCTATAAACTGTTTAAGAAAAAAAATCCCTTTTACTATTTTCCCTATTTTTCCTCTTGTCTGTATTGTTGTTAAATATTAAGCATTTCTATAAAAATAGCTTGCTTACATTGTCCTACCTAGAGGTTGCAGGTTGTTATCAAAGACATATTATTGTGCCATAAAGTAAGCTTGTGCTTCATCCTTACTGGTTTAAACTTAATACTCATGTTTCATCAAATAGAAGGAGAGTTGTAGCAATGACTACAAATAAGTCAGTAAAACAAACACTAGTGTGAAGGTTAGTATAACTGAAGACTTCTACTTAAAGAGATAAAGAGTCCTCAGCTGTCTCCCTAAATAACCTGTTCATTTCTGGACTCCTTTTTCTCTTCCCTTGGATTTTGCCCATTTTCCTAAACTGGCTGAAAAAGAGTCTTGTGAATAAAGTATCCTCAGTCTCTTTGACTGTTATAAAGTTGGACAGAAATCTTTTCACTTCTGTGATATGAGGAACTGAGTCAAGACCAAGAAAAAACTCAGCACCTGAAAATATCAAGTTTCAGTGCAAGACTGGCCCACATTTTCATTCATGAAAATCCACCTAATGGGAATAATTAATAAAATACCAAAAGGTCTACTCCAAATATGTTTATCCTTTAGTAGGAAAAAGTCGAAATGACCTGAGACCATGAACAGAAGGGCTTAGGTTAAATGTATCATGGCATGCCCAGATAACGGAATACTAATGGAAAATGTATACATTGAAATAAGAAAGGTGTTAGGATTATTTGCTCAAAAAATAAATTTGCTAAATAATCAGTATACAATATTATACAAAAACTGTATGTATGAGGCTGTTTATGTTAGAAATATATTCTGGCATACCCTACATCATGTCCTTTTAGGTTTGAGAAGTTCATGAGAGTTTCCTACAATCCTTGTATGTACTTTATGTTTAGGAGATCTGGTTGGGATTTCATGTGCCTGGCAAGCAATTGAGGGCCCTGGAACCAGAGCCACTGTGCAGAAGGCCACTTTCCCAATGGCAAAGTTGGCCATGCTGCATTAAATTATGGATAACAGCGCAGTTTGCTAATTTATAGTAGTGAAACTTTCAAGTAACATTTGCACTGTTTTGTTGATTTCTTTTACAGTTTTTGTTTATATCCAAAGGTCAGGTTATATAAACTTAAAGTACTACATGTGTCCTTTGTGGGATCATTTGGTGCATAATTGTGAAAGAATATATTGGATAGCCATATTATAAAATAATGAATAATGTGATCTATAATGGTAACCCTTACAGTGATTGTGTCTAGGGATTTGGCTTTTATTTCCATAAATGGATGTTAATTTTGATATACAAGTATGCATAAGAATTTTTCTTACTGAAATTAATGATAATTATGTTTAACATATGAGAATTTATGAAAGATTTTTCAAGAATCAATTACCCTTGTATCCAATTATCCTGTAAGAAGGATATATATGCATAGAAAGTATTTATCAAGGGGTTAAGAATGGGTCATCTCTATTAGTAAAATTTTAGATGCTTTTTAATTTTCACCCTTTGGTTTTTCTCTGTTTTTAAATTTTTCTAGAATGAGTATGTACTATTTATACAAGTAAAAAACAATTATAATATTAAAAAGTGAAATTTAAGATTATAAACAAACACGTTTCTTGGAAAACAGGTAGAGAACTGCTGGAAATGGTTCCATTCAAGGATGAAAGTTGGCATTTCCCACAATTAGGGCCCAAATGTCATTAGGAAGAACTAAAACACCCAGGAGAGGGCACAACTGAAAAATTGACACCCTGGTTTCTGTTTTCTGCTCCAGCTTTCTTGGCTTTTCATAGGAACAACCATGTGACCTGCTGATGCCTTGCTCTTGGCCCACAGGGCGGGAAGCCAGCAAGGAGAAATTAACAGAAGTAAATGTCGGGTAATTTGAGTAAGTGAAATTTCTGCAGCCTGAATTTTCTGGGAAATTACATACATGTCTTATTTAGGTATAATCCTGCCTAATATTAGTGGGTGACATTTTGAGGGCTTGTTAGTTACTGAGGGAAAAGGAAGAGAGAAGGAGTGTCGCTTTTCTCAGGCACAGAAGTGGTTGTGTGCAGGGGCTCCTGCTTTTTCAACACCCACCATAAAAACAAATCATGGTTGTGTCAAAAAAAAAAAAAAAAAGCTGCTGATCTATCACAATTTTCCTTTTCCCTTCTCAAACTTGAATGTACATCAAAATGAACAGGGGATCTTGTTAAAATGCTAATGTGGATTCAGAAGGTCCGGGGCAGGGCCTGGATTCTGCATTTCTCACAAGTCCCAGGTGATGTTGGTGAAGCTGCTGGCCCCGGGTCTGAGCAATGTGGTCCTGAGCATCCAGAACAGCACCTCCCTGAAGTTAATTGGCCCACAGAGAGCAGAGAGGGAACACTTCAACCCGGTCTCATTAGGCTCCTGCTTTAGTCAGCTGCTGCGAGGGGACCAGACTGATTGTTACGAGCCATGCTGAAGGTCAAATACAAGCCTAGGAAAGCAGTCACAGTGATTGGTATGTATAAGGCCCCTGAAGACCAGAAGAAATATGAAAAAGAAAATTTAAATTAACAGGGAGAAAAAAAAAATCCATGTTAATCTTAATTAGAGAGTTAAGTACTAACGACTAACAACTAAGTACAGAGCAGCTTCTCAGCCTTAGGCAAAAGCCTTCTAAAGAACACTGTGAGACTCCCCTTCATGAGTAGGTGAGTCCCAGATTCCCTTCGGATCCCCCCACATAGAGCCCCAATGAAAGCCACACACCTTTGCTGGGAAGAAAAGCAGAGGGCCTTTCCTGTTGCTTGCATCATTTTCCCTGCTCTGGTTTTGTCTTGGAAGCCTTGGGATCGGAGAAATTTTCCCAGTTCATTTTCTTCTTGAGACAAGACTGATGAAGAAAAGACCAAAAGGAGCCATGAACAATGAGCATTTTTTATTACAAAGAGAACGAGAAAGACAAATAACAAGGTCTCTTCCAGAGGCAAAGATGAGAAGAAATTAAATCCAAGTGGCAGGCTACAAGGTAAGCTCCCTGCTCCCCATTTAACTTTCATGCTGTTCTTCCATTTACAATGCAAGATCAAATTCACTTGAATACATCTGTCAGTGAGTTTGGGGCCCTGTAATCAGAACCAGAAAATGACCTCTGTACTGAAAAGCGAGCCCATAATGTGGTGCTTCGAGCTGAAATAAAGGAGTTGGGTTTGTCAAGTATGACTGTGGAAATCTTTTGTGCCTGCCTAGGATGCAGTGCTAGCTGCCTCCTATTATTCTCTCCTGCTGACTTTTTGATCTCTGCTCTCTGAGTTACATTCTATTCCACTGTAAAGCAACTCAAATACCTCATCCGTGACACAGGTTTGTGGTTGGTGGTGGGGGTGGGGATTGAGGGTGGGTAGGTCATCAGGTTGATGACTTGGTGGATTTTTAAAATACAGAGCTGGAACCAAATCTGAATTGGTTATGCCTAATCTCGGTTTTATTTTTAAAGATGGCATTATTGTTGAAAAAGTGATTTATTATAAGCTTTCTGCAGATTGATTTGGAAGTAAAATAAAAAGTCATGGAATTGTATGTATCTTTTGACAGTGCGCTTCTACTATTTAAGAGTATATCCTAAGGAAGTAGTAAAATGGGCACAAAGATGTATTATATATTTAAAAACAATCACAGCATCATTATTTATAATAGCAAAAGTCTTTCCCTATACTAAGGACTAATTCAATAAAATACAGCACCCACATAATGGAACAGTGGGGGTCCTGAACACAAGTCAACACCTGAGCCACAGGCACAAGAGTGACACTTAGCTTCCTAGAATGCATTTTTCCTCTAAACCGCATTTACTAGACACGTAGTTTGAACGCTACTTTTATTTCCCATTTTTGCACTGACAGATTTACACACCATGTGTCTCTAAAACTGCTTTCTAAATGCTGCTAGGATTCTTGTTGTTTCTCATGAACCAGCCAGACTTCTTTAAGAACGAACCCCATTCCTGATATAACCTCTCCAACGATAGCTGTAGCATGCTGGCCAGGGACCACAAATCCAAAGGTAAAGGCTACACTTGATACTGCTTCCTTATTAATTTGTGACTATAGCTCACTCTACACAGTCCCCTGGGAGGGCCCAGTCAAGAAGAGGCTTTTAGAATCCATTTTTCCCCAGGGATAAATGATGACCCTGCTTCCTCTTCTGTCTCAAAAATTAAGTTCACTGGTCAAGAGGCCAGCTCAAAGGCTCCCTCCTCTGTGAAGTATTAATAGTTGATCCCTATTTCTCTGGACAGTGCGTGTTCTGGGCATCTGGTAAGACCGGTGTTAGCATGTCTGGGCATGTGTCTGTCTTTTCCAGGGGACTCTAAGCTTTCCAGGACAGGCAGTGCATCCAAACTTTGTATTCCCCAGGCCAAGCACAAAGTCTTATATTCATGGTACTAATTAAATGCTTGTGAAATTGAATTAACTGTAATTTTTGCCTTTTTATCCTTGTATACTTTAATTTACTTTAAATGCTTATTTGACATTTATGCCATAGTTCTATGTAGCTTTAAAAAATTCCTATAATTTTAAGAAGGTGTTTTATTTTCTAATATCTTCCATTTCTTGTTCTCTCCACTGACTAATATATTATATGACTCACTGAATTCCACAACGAATCTTTCCCTATGGAGAGCAATTTCCCATTTTTGTTCAATAATAGCATGAGGCTACTGTTATCTTTTTTACCTTGAAGTCTTAAGTCACATACAAATGAACACAGTTAGCTTAAGGCTAGGAAAAAACCAATTCATGGTACCTGAATGATTACACAGTTGGTGAAATGTACTCTTTCCTAAATAAACCTAAGTAGGTGGAAGCATTTAAAAATAATTTTTGGTCATTTTATGCACTTGAGGATTAAATTTGGGGTGGCAAACAGGATTCATTTTAAGTACTGACTCTGATTAATTGGCGATGCTACTCAGAGACTGGTGGAAAGAATTTTGAGCTCCATCAGACTCAAGGATGGATTTTTTGAAAAGGATGGGCCGGGCGCGGTGGCTCACGCCTGTAATCCTAGCTCTCTGGGAGGCCGAGGCGGGCGGATTGTTTGAGCTCAGGAGTTAGAAACCAGCCTGAGCAAGAGCGAGACCCCGTCTCTACTAAAAAAATAGAAAGAAATTAATTGGACAACTAAAAATACACAGAAAAAAAAATTAGCCGGCATGGTAGCGCATGTCTGCAGTCCCAGCTACTCGGGAGGCTGAGGCATAAGTATCGCTTGAGCCCACGAGTTTGAGGTTGCTGTGAGCTAGGATGACGCCACGGCACTCTAGCCTGGGCAACACAGTGAGACTCTATCTCAAAAAAAAAAAAAAAAAAAAGAAGGATGGTCACTTTTCAATTTAAAAAATTCAAGTATTAAAATTAATTTATAAAAGTCTGAAATTCAGGTGTAACATAGGTATCAGATAACTCAAAAGTTTCTACTTGCAAGTTTCACTCAACTGGGACTTAAGAATTAAGAGACAAATAAAAACCTATTCATCTTTAATTGCTGATTAAGTTTTCAGATGTATCCTTAAAAAAAAGCAACTAAAGAACTACGAAACCAAGTAGCTTGATAGCATTAACTCAGCACAGATTTATGGATGATCCAATATGTACTAGGCACTGTTCTTGCCACCAGAAATACAGTGATCAACAAGACACAGGAAGACCCTGCTCTTATAGAGCTTACGTTCAAGCTGCAGGAGATAGAAAACAAAAAATACACAATCACAAACACAAAACACTAAAAAGAAAAATACCAGACAGAGCGATGAGAGATGGAGAATAAGAGAGAGTGATTGGGAGCTGCCTTAGGCTGGGTGGTCAGGGAGGGCATCTCTGAGCAGGTGACCATTAAGCTGAGCTTTGAATGACAGTAGTCTTGACACTATTACAGGAGAGGCATTCAGACAGAGTGCAAAAGGCCTCTGGCAGCTTGGTGGGCAAGGAAAAAGGTGGCTGAAGAGGTGAGGTGGAGCCAGGTTGTGTCCTACTTAAAAGCCATGGTATGGTATAGGAGTTTGGCTTCTACTTCAAGACCTACTAGAGGCTTTTAAAAGCAAGAGAGCACTATGATCCAATTTACATTTATTTTGAAATAATGTTAGGCTTATAGAAAAATTACAAACAGTAGACAGAGTTCCTTGTGTACCCTTCCCCTAAGATTTACATCTTATTTTACCATGGAACAATGATCAAAACTAGGACATTAGCATTGGTACAACACTATCAACTAACTTACAGACCCTTTTTGAATTGCACCGGTTTTTCCATTAATATGCTTTTTCTGTTCCAGGATCCAGTCCAAGATCTCACATGGCATTGACATCTTGCATTTCCTTAGTTTTCTTCAATCTATAACTGTTCCTCGTCTTTGTCTTTCATAACTTTGACAGCTTTTAAGAGTACTTGTCAAATATTTGGTAGAATGTCCCTCAATTTGGGTTTGTCTAATTTCTCTTGATTAGACTGGGGTCATGGATCTTTGGGAAGGATGCCACAGTGGCGAAGCGCCCTCCTTAGTGCACGGTATCAGGGGCTACATGACATCTACATGCATCATCACTGGTGACGTCAGCCTCCATCACTTGCTTAAGCTGGGCTTCTACACTGTAGAGTTATAATTTCGTCCTTTTATAATTATTAAAATCTTGGGGAGAATACATGAGACTATGCAAATATCCAGTTTCTCCTCAAACTTTCACTAATTGTAACAATCTTCAAGGAATCTCATCTGCCACAATTCTCACTGTGGCTTTTGCCTAATGGTGATTTTGTGGTTCCCTCATTTGTCCCATATTTATTAACTGAAATTATTTTATAAGGAAGAGCTGTCTTCTCTCTTTCTCTCTCTTTTTCTATATACACATACACACACACACACACACACACACACACACACACACACACTTAAGGAATATTTATTTTATTCTATGGGTCATGATTCAATGCTATTGTTATTTATTTTGTTGCCCAAATTGTGCCAGCTTTGGCCACAGGTTTGTTCCTATGCCCTTTCAACATGCTTTTTCAAACACTTCTTTATGATATATTCAAAATAGTATGGGCTCTTCTTGAATTTTCCCTGTCCCAGTCCTAGAATCAACCTCTTGTCCAAGGAGCATTTCTTTTATTGGGGAAGAGTATTTAGAAAGAAAACAAGATCTGGGTGCTAGGTGTGCTTACTGTTATGGGGTGTCAGTGCTTCTCGCCCATCTCAGCTGACAGAGACAGAAATGTATGACCATCCACTAACCCATGCATACATGCTCATCTACATTAATTTCTGTATCTATCTGTACATATATTAAAAACAGTGACTTCATACTGACACCTCTGAGCCCAGAACAATACCACAGTGTTTACCAGTCTCTCCCTTTCTTTATTGATAACTTCCTCCTACGATAGTGAGAAACCAGGCTCTCATTATCTACAATATATTTACTTATTGTTCAACTTCAATATTTGCATAAACTAGTTTCAGAATTGCTAACCTACACCCTCTATGAGAAACAAATTAACTAACTAGAATACAGTTTCAGGAATAATTCTTTTTGTGTTTAGCCTTAGTCTCTGGTCAAAAATACTGTTTCCCAAAATTCCTGAGGTTAGTTCTTTTTTTCTTCACTCTAGTTAGTGTGATGATGTTATTCATTTGTAATACAATTTAGTTCATTTGTTACCATTTGTGTTCCTTTTTAGATTATCCCATCTGGTTGGGTCTAAGTATTTTTTGAGTATATGAAATATTTCTACAGTTTTAAGAGTCAGAGGTACATGAAAGTACCTCAGAGAGGTGTAGCTTCCTCCTTAACCCTGCTACTCCATTCTCATTCCCTCCTTCTCTCCAACCCTTCCCCCACCCCCACTGATAGCCAATCTCTTTAGTTTCTGGTTTATCCTTCCTAAATTTCTTTCACACAATGAGCAGGCCACATGTATAGTGTGTGTGTGTGTGTGTGTGTGTGTGTGTGTGTGTGTATCCCCTTCATTTTTACATTCATATTTTATTATATTTCCTTCTTGCCTGCATGAAGGATAGCATACTATAGATATGCTTTTGTGTTTTGCTTCTTTCCCTTAAGAGCATATCCTTGAAATCACTCTATATTAGTTCAGAGACTTTCTTCATTTTTTTTGTCTTTGACAGCTGCATAGCAACACCCTCAAATTAACTACACTATTTTTAGTCCTCCATCAAAGTTGGGATCCTTTTCGAGTCCAAGCAGGGCAGAACTCCTTCCCATCCCACTGGGATGGCGTGGCTTATGTGAGGCTAGTGGGGAGACACACAAGGGCTTACCCACCACCCACAGCCAAGCTCTGCTGGCACAACCGCATGACTACTTCAAGGGCATGGCATTATTCTAACCCCTTACATTATAAGATAATCATGAGCCTTGGTGGTGTTCAATCATAATTCTATTAACTAATCTGAGGTGGTTTGGGGGCGGGGAGAAGTTCTTTCTCTCTTTTCAATTAGAAACCGTAATATAAATGGCAAGTGTAATTTCTGTTCAGGGAATCACTATTTACAAAAAATTTGCAAGTATCCATCTTTTCATCCTTTGTAAAAATTATAGTTTAGTGGAAAGAGGGCACACTAAACTTCACGTGACTTTCTTAACAATTAAAGTTACAATTTTCTAAATATTTTTTGTTTTTGACCACTGATGGGATTAAGACCACTGGGACTTAATGATGCTATGTCTGAGGCTGTGAGAGGATAGGAGGTGAAGGAATTGCCTGAGCAGAACCCTGAAATAAGGGCAGATGTTAACTGCCTAGTTGGGGGACATATATCAGCAATCTGGGAGTACAGCAAAGCATGCTCCAACCTCAGAGCCTAAGAGGTCTCATGCATGAAAAGCTGCGAGTGGCCTGACATGAAAACTTCTCATGGCTATAGAGGTAGATTGCCATATGTCAGCCTGGGAGAAGGGTCTCAGGGCTTCCATTGTTTGAACAGTGGGCCAAGTTCCTTCTCTCTCTTTCTCTCAACAATGCCTCAGTTAATATAAAACCAGTCTCCCAGTGGAAAGCATGTAGTTTCTTTGTTCCTTGATCAAATGGGTCACAGCTACTGAAGTTAGAGATTGATATCCATGTACATAGCTTGAGCTTGGGCTAAAATAAGTCAGTTTACCTTGATCAATAGGATTGTACCTACTGAAGAATTATGTGTTTTTCACTTCTAGAAAGGAGAAGGAAATTAGCTAGTACATCTCATGATTTTTGGGGAAGCCCTGAAACCTTTGATCATTGTATCCTGTGATTTTTTTCACATGAGATAATTGTATTTTGCCACACAGCAAAGAGAATAAAAAGCAAGTGCTGGGTTTCAGTCATCGTCACCTTGGCACCAGAGTGCTGGTGGTCCCCTGACTTCCCCACTTTCTTAAATATTATTTCTGTTTCTGTGTCTTTGTTTCGTTCATCTCTTGCAACACAGTCTGCCAGGGGACCCTATCTTTATTGGGGATGTCACAAACCCCCAAAAGACGACAAAGGAGAAAATGATTCATTTCATGGCAAGTATTAGGGGCATGGTGGGTATAGCAAAAAGGAATTTGACCAACAATTTCCCAAACACAGGGTTTAAGAAAAGGAATGATCTGATCAGGCTTAAAATTGTACTCTGATTGCTGTATAGACAATAGGCTGGAGGAGGCAGAGGTGGAGACATGGAGATCAGTTAGGAGGCTGATGTAGCAAACCAAGTGAGAGAGCGATGATGACAGCTTGAACTAAGGTAGTGGCAGAGAAGATGGAGAGAAGGAGAATTGAAAGCCATTTAGCTGGGGTGTGTGTCATGTGCCTTGATTTCCTCATAGCCCAAGAATCTGGAGTAGGAGCCCTGAAGAAATCCTAGCTCAAACACTTAGTAAATATTAACATAGATAATTTATAAAATACTTGCCTCTAAGTACTATGATTTCAGTTTTGTCTTAATAAAATATTACTAATGTAGAAAAATTACCAATTGTTAATTTGTGATTATTGGAAAGGGGTTTGGCAGCAGTCAGCAACAAAAAGACTTCCCATATTCTACTGTCAAAAATACAGAGTTAGATAGAATGAACAATATTTGATAGCACAAAAAAGTGACTATAATCAAGAAATCAGGGTATACTTTAAAATAACTAAAAGAGTGGAATTGGAATGTTCCTAACATAAAGAAATGTTAATGCCCAAGGTGATGGATACTCCAATTACCCTGACTTGATTAATTCACATCGTATGCCTGTATCAAAACATCACAAGTACCCTATAAAGATATACAACTTTTATGTACCCAAAATAATTAAAAATAAAAAATGCTAAACATGAAGAATAGAGATTATATTATTAAAATGACCCACAGAT